TATAGACGAATAAAATTATTACTAATAATAATAACCGTAAAATAAAATAACAAAATTAAAACGAATATTTATAATCAACAATTATTATACAAACTGTACAAAGAAGAATGCGGAATTGAAACTATACTTTCTTTTCTAAAATTGTTGTAAAAACATGGACAAATTGAAAGATAAGCCAAAAGTCCTTCGCATTCCGAACTAACGACTCAATAAGAAAAAATAAAAAACCGTACACATCATTTAAGGTTACGAAGGTTAACGAAAAACAAAACAATTACGCCTTAACATCATTAATTTATTGATTTGGTACAGTAGAATTATTATGAACTTTTGAAGTCGAGCAGTCTGATCCGAAATGATGTTTATGTTATACATATCAGTGTACAATTACTATAAACAAGTACAGCTGCATAATGATGATATAAGGTGTACTACGTACATGCACTTACTGTATGTCCAAGTCAACCTGTGAAATTCGGCATGTTTATATACAGCTAGGCAACTTACAAAGCAGCGCTGTTTAGTGTAGTGGCTAATTACACTACATTAGTGGGGTAGATAGTCAAATTTGCCATTTTAGGAGTTGTGCATAAACTATACTGCTTTGTAAGGGCGGAAGGAGTCTGGTAAAGTGCTGTTCTGGACTACATGTGTGGGAAGTGGGTTTTCCCCGGAGCGCAACGTGTTTTTTTTTATTTTTTACGGTTTAAGTTTTAAGTATCAGTGTCTATTACCTACAGTACTTTTTGTTTATAAGACTGGCTAGTCCTGAATTATGCTGTTGCAGAAGATTTTAAGTAAAGAAATTAAAGTAAAATTTCAATGAAAATTTCATTTCAAAAAAAGTGCGAGTCCTACACCGAAGGTTCTATACAAACTTATAGCGTAAATAGTTTGTCCATCATGGGAATCGAGTCTCGAAGATGTTTTCTGAAACGCCTAGGCGGAATTGATAGAAACGATTTATTTAAATCGGCCGCTGTATATACCCCAATAATTGTACAACTGTTTAATCGTTGATGTAAAGATTATAAACATTTCTTTAGCTTTTGAGTAATTATTTTACCATGGACTTTATTCGTAAATTTTTTAAGGTTTACGTATTAAATTTCCGTCACCCCAACTAGAAAAAAAAATTGTGAGAATATATTGTTGATCAAAATTGAATATTATTACTATAAAAAAAGTATTAAACGTCTTTTTTTCTTCGGTAAAATCAAATTGCAAGACGGTAGGAAAAGACAAGACGAACGAAGTATACCCTTATATTATCAGACATCGTTATCTGAGATGCAAGAGTTATTAGCGTTGGGCTAATAACCGCAGTATTATACGTGGAAGCGATGTTTTCGAAACAAAAACTAAAAAGTATGATGGTAATGCAGAACTGATTGCATCTAGAGGGTTCGAGTTTGCTTACATTTACAATGCGTCACGATAAATTAAAAGTAAGAGAATTGTTTTTTCTTTAAATTTTAATTAAACTTTTTCTTTCAGACCTACTCCGGCCTGTTTTGTGTGGTAGTAAACCCATACAAGAAACTGCCAATATACACAGAAAAGATTATGGAAAGGTACAAAGGGATAAAACGGCACGAAGTACCACCACATGTTTTTGCCATTACAGATACTGCCTATCGTTCTATGTTACAAGGTGAGAATTTTTTTTATATTTGAAGTAACTTCTTTTTAAATTAAATATTCACTTGCCTACATTATAAATATACGTTATTAATTATTATAATGAGGTGGCATAGTCTCCATTTACTAACGATAAAGCGTTGTTTTCCTTCGTGTGTCACGAAATTCTTTACGGTCGTGTAACATATATAGTCCAAATGGAGATTATTCCCACTAACAATAGTTGACCCTGGGGAACCGCCTGACAATTCTGGATTTTTGACGTCTATTAAGTAGGAAGAGCAAAGTCAGCGGAATCAAAAACAGAAACCCTAATTAAATGCTATTTAAACGTCCCAATGAGAAATTAAATGCTCTGGGATTTTTTTTTTCAAAAATTACTGCTTTGCTAGCATAAGATTAAGTTAGTTCAGTATGAGTGAAATTATTTTCATCACATAGTAATTTATTAAATACTTCGAAACAGGCCTGTTACCAATTGAATTTTTTTTTCCAATAAATAAGACTTCTTGACATGGACAGTACGTTGATATTGAAGGGACCACGTTGTCCTTCCTTACTTCCTACTTAATGGACATAGATTTTTATCCAAAGCTTTTTTAAGAGAATTTGGGAGAGTGGGATAAATGATTGTACATTTAGTTACAATACTGTAATGGCAAGATTATATTACTTGTAAACACCATTTGAAGAAGTTTTACAAAATTTTGAGTGATACGTCTGTTATTCTACGTTGCTCATTTTTAGGCAAAAATTGGAATTATTGTCAAACGCTCAATATATAAATGAATTTTTTTGTATGTCGATTAATTGGAATACCGTCTCAAGTTTTTTTTATTTTTTTTAAGACAAATCCCCATATAGGTATCTATCGCTGAAACTTACCTGAAAGTTTAAAAAATGAAAATTAGAATCAAAATTATTCCAGCTTTTGTTAACAAATTAAAGAGATTAGATCACCACACGGAACCAAGATAATAAGGCGCGTTTAAGAAATTGAAAATATTTTTCTAGTATGTCTGTTAATTTAAATATATCTCATGTATATAGCGCAATATGTAACAGTTATTTATCTAAAAATCAGTTACATACATCACTATGTCTTTATATCACTGCTTTATGTATGTGAACTGTCCTGTATCGACTATATACTGTCGGATGTTCGTCACTTATTTATGCACGAACATGGAATATTCTTGATTATATATTTCCTGAAACTTCCCGTTAGTTATGCCAGTTTTCCTCGCTTTATGAACCATGACTGCTAGATTTTTGGTACATCAAAGCTACCACCGGTATCGATCGCCTGCGGCATTCGTCCGTCCTAACTTTTATTTTATTTATCGATTTTTTGTCGATATCACCACGTTTTATATTTTTGTTGTAACTTTCAGAAAGGGAAGATCAATCAATACTTTGCACTGGTGAATCTGGCGCGGGAAAAACAGAAAACACAAAGAAAGTTATTCAGTATTTGGCCTACGTAGCCGCATCGAAATCACCAAAAGGTTCTGGAGCGGTAAGTCCTCAATTTCTTAATTTTTTTCTGCCACAAGGCTTGTAAATACACAAATACCTCTTTTACACATCAAAAGCAGTTTATATTAGTTTTGTTATTTATTTCTAATTTCGTTTTCTTTGCATGTTCCTTGTTGTCTTTTGGACTCTGCAGAAAGACCTTATCGTAAGTAGATTGCTTTTCTTTTTTATTGCCTAACGTGGTGTTTAGCGCCCAATGCTATAAAGCTTATAATACAAAAAACAATAAGCCACAAGTAAACATACTATTTTTATATTGTGTGTAGTGTGTAGTATATTACTTTGCTTACTGAAACGAAATTGTCGAAAGAGACGTCTTTAGGAAGATCTATATTTTGTCAAAGAAGTGTTTTCTGTAGTTATATAGGTATAGTAAAAATACAGTGTACTGTATAAACAATAACGTTTGGTGAGTTTGTCGGTAGTGCTACTGCCTAAAAAGCTCATATACAGATCAGGAAAAAAATGAACCTGTTAAAGGATAAGACGTAATAGTGTTTTGGACTTCAATAATTTGACCATTGCGTACATATGTAGTACATGTATTAATGTTAAATAATATCAGATGCTTAAAAAAGGACTTGCGTTTATACAGGACAAACAATTAAAATTGATGCTGTAAATTTATATCCTCTTTAATATTAAACAAAATAATTCGAAGTGGTCCGTATTTTGTCGAAACTGCCAGACGCGGATCGCGATTTCGATCTTTTTGGATCTCATCAGCTCGTCGCAGCTCCGACAGAACACAGATCAACCTTTACCTGCTATCTTAACAGCGCGTTTTAGAAAATACCACAAATGGCGTGGAGCATACGTAATCCTCAAATGTAGTATCGTACTACAGATGGCGCTCACCACGCCATTTGTGGTATTTCCTCTTTAATAGTATTATTGGACGCAAGGAGGAGGATCAAAAAACGCTCGTCAGAGTTTTTATCAAATTATTTTAAAATTATAAACAGACGTTTTATTTACATTTATTCGAGCCTGAACCATCGAAATCTAATTTTACTTATATCTAATATGAACCTTCAAGGCATTGATACTTTCTGTCGCTGTATTTCGGTTATTCCCTGTATTAAGAAATTTCTTTTTACAATATTTACTTACAATTAGTCTCTCAGTCTGCTCAGATAAAGCGAACCAGTTAAGCAATTCAAGTTGTTAATTGCATGGGTTGTATATATTGTACATAATATATATATATATATATGGTAATGGAATTTTAATATGCATATCATAATATGACAATTATGTATTTAAATTAAATACGCTATATTCTTTAACGCTATAGCACAGCCTTTTGGCTTTCTTTTATAAATAAAAAAAGAGATGTTGAAAATTCATTTTCACTTATTCTTTTACATGTTTTAAACGCCAGAGCCCATCTAGGGACTTTTCGGTATGTATAATGTAAAAGTTGGGTGGTTGTGTTAGAGTAGCTTTCACAAAAACATAATGTTTTATGCCACCTACGCTTTATCGTTATTGTTATTTTTTTCAATTAACAAAGCCGTTAGTTTTGAATGGCGTATTTATAACATTTACTAGTGTGCAGTGCTGGCCAAAAGTTACTCACCTGTACAGGGTGTTCTTCAACCGTTAACTAAGTTTCGGGTACCACGTGCATTCAATTTCGTTAAAAAAGAAATGGTCCTATAAGCCAATTTTATAATCGAAATTGTATAAAAATTGCGTTGCATCGAAAAGTAACGACCTTTTCAGCTTGACAGCTGTATAGTGTTATGCAGAACTTTATGCGATGATTTCGGGACATCCTGTACATATACATAAATTTAGTATACAAAAAAAGAAGAATACAAGTTTTTTTTTATAATTAATAAATATAAAAATAAAATGAAAGTATGAATTTAAAGTTCACCACTTTTAAACTTTTGAAATGTACTGCCCTACCTTTTTTATTTATAACACTGCATTTCATTTGTGTTATCATTTAAATAGCATTGTTATCATATTATGACAGAAAATGAATTACTAACCAACTTCAGAAAGCCAAATAAGTTAATGTAAAAATTTACTTCAAAAAGTATATTTAGGATAGAAAAATAGGATATGGTGTGATGTTTAATGTGCTTTAAAAAATTTGTAAGTATATTGTTTATTAATAAAGAAAATAGTTTTGGAAGAAATGCTTGGAACCCACAATGTACTTAATTAATACCTACGTGGATTATATTTATGTATCCAACAATGTTGGGATATTTTTAGATTTAAAAACTGAGCTCATTTACAAATTATATTACCATTAATTGAGTGAATTTAAACACTTTTTTATGCCATTTTGTCTTTACTAACACTTTATTAATGTGGTATTATTTGTTTTTTTTTTTAATTCAAAATTCATAATCATTAAAGCACAGCTTATATCTCGTGCTGCATAGATGTTTGTAGTTGAAACAAATGATGTATGAAACTCTAATAAAAAAATTTCTTTAGGGAAGCTTAGAGCAGCAGCTACTTCAAGCCAATCCGATTTTGGAAGCGTTTGGTAACGCCAAAACAGTCAAGAACGACAATTCTTCTAGATTTGTAAGTGGATTCTCATGTAGTTTATTGGAAATATAAAGTATTGGTGGTGTTTTTTTGTAGGGTAAATTCATTCGAATCAATTTCGATGCATCGGGGTATATTGCTGGTGCCAACATAGAAACTTATCTCTTAGAGAAATCACGTGCCATAAGACAAGCGAAAAATGAAAGAACTTTTCACATTTTCTATCAGCTTCTTTGTGGAGCATCAACAGAACAGAAAAGTATGTATAAATATATGGATTCAAAAATATTGAAATACATATAATTGAGTAAATTCCACAAGTAGTTTCGTAATTATTGACGTGTTTAATCATTTATTATTTTCTATTTTGATATTCAAAAAGTTGTAGATAATTAAGACATATCATATCAATGGGTAGGTACTACTTATTTGGCATTTGGAATAAAAAGTGATACTACATATTTTATTGTTTTAATTAGAATTATTTTTTTTTCTAGAGGAATATATTCTAGAAGATGCAAAAAGTTACACATTCCTGAGCAACGACAATCACATCGTACCCGGTGTAGATGATTCGGCAGAATTTCAGAATACTGTCAAAGCCATGCATATTATGGGATTTACCCCTGAAGATTTTCACTCCATATTCCGAATAGTCTCCGCGGTCATGCTCTTTGGCACTATGCAATTTAAACAGGATCGAAATTCGGATCAGGCTACTCTACCGGATAATACTGTCGCGCAGAAAATCGCTCATTTACTGGGTCTGTCCGTTACCGATATGACGAAAGCCTTCCTTAAGCCCAGAATCAAAGTTGGAAGAGAATTTGTAACTAAAGCACAAACAAAAGAACAAGTAAGTTTTTATAGAAAATACCATGAATTCTTGACTGTAAATACTTTTAAAGAAAATCTATTTATTTAATATATTTTCATTTTCTTAGGTGGAATTTGCTGTAGAAGCAGTTTCTAAAGCCTGCTATGAACGAATGTTTCGATGGTTAGTAACAAGAATAAATAGGTCTTTAGGTAGAACAAAAAGACAAGGTGCTAGTTTTATTGGAATTCTTGATATTGCTGGTTTTGAAATATTCGAACTGAATTCCTTCGAACAATTGTGTATAAATTACACAAATGAAAAATTACAACAACTTTTCAATCACACCATGTTCATTCTCGAACAGGAAGAATACCAACGTGAGGGAATCGAATGGAAGTTTATTGACTTTGGTCTTGATTTACAACCAACAATCGATTTGATTGAAAAGCCGATGGGTATTATGGCTCTTTTGGATGAAGAATGTCTATTTCCAAAGGCCACTGATAAAACGTTCGTTGAAAAATTGGTTACAGCGCATACAGGTCATCCAAAATTCAAAAAGAGCGATTTCCGCGGTATCGCTGATTTTTCGATTATCCACTATGCTGGCAAAGTTGATTATTCTGCTAACATGTGGTTAATGAAGAACATGGATCCTCAAAACGAAAATGTAGTGTCTTTGCTTCAAAATTCCACAGATCCTTTCGTTGCACATATCTGGAAGGATGCCGAAAGTCTTGGACGCGCAAAAGGCATGTTCAGAACAGTTTCCTATTTGTATAAGGAACAGTTGACGAATTTAATGGTCACTTTAAGAAATACTAATCCTAATTTCGTTCGTTGCATCATTCCTAATCACGAAAAACGCGCAGGAAAGATAGATGCTCCTCTTGTTCTGGATCAATTGCGTTGCAATGGTGTTTTGGAAGGAATCAGGATTTGTAGGCAAGGTTTCCCCAACCGTATACCCTTCCAAGAGTTTAGGCAACGTTACGAACTTCTGACGCCAAATGTCATTAACAAGGGTTTCATGGACGGAAAGAAAGCTTGTGAAACCATGATCAAATCTTTAGAATTGGATTCTAATTTATATCGTATTGGCCAGTCTAAGATTTTCTTTAGAGCAGGAGTATTAGCTCATCTTGAAGAAGAACGTGATTATAAAATCACCGACCTTATTGTCAATTTCCAGGCCTTCTGTAGAGGCTTCTTATCTAGACGTAATTACCAAAAACGGGTACAGCAACTTAATGCGATACGCATTATCCAGAGGAATTGCAGCGCGTATCTAAAATTACGCAATTGGCAGTGGTGGAGACTTTACACAAAAGTAAAACCGCTCTTAGAGGTAACAAAGCAAGAGGAGAAACTTATGCAAAAAGAAGATGAACTCAAACAAGTTAAAGATAAATTGGATGTGCAAATCAAAAACGCTCAGGAATTCGAGAAGAAATATCAACAGGCCATTGAAGAAAAAACGGTTCTTGCAGAGCAACTTCAAGCTGAAGTCGAACTTTGTGCAGAAGCCGAAGAAATGCGAGCTAGACTAACTGCTCGTAAACAAGAATTGGAAGAAATTCTACATGATTTAGAAGCGCGAATTGAAGAAGAAGAAGAACGAGCCAATGCTCTAAATAGTGAAAAAAAGAAATTACAACTTACTATTCAGGACTTAGAGGAACAGTTAGAGGAAGAGGAAGCCGCACGTCAAAAGTTACAATTGGAAAAGGTGCAGTATGACGCGAAAATTAAGAAACTTGAAGAAGATTTAGCATTAAGTGACGATACGAATCAAAAACTTTTAAAAGAGAAGAAAGTTTTTGAAGAAAGGGCTAACGATTTAAGTCAAGCCTTAGCCGAAGAAGAGGAAAAGGCGAAACATTTAGCCAAATTGAAAACAAAACATGAAACTACAATTGCTGAACTCGAAGAAAGACTTCTCAAAGATCATCAACAAAGACAGGAAACTGACAGATCAAAGAGAAAAATTGAGTCGGAAGTATCGGATCTGAAGGAACAGTTAGGCGAAAAGAGGACCCAACTGGAAGAACTGCAGTTGCAATTAGGTAAATTAGTTTATTTGGGAGTTAAAATCTGAACCAAGACTAACAACTGTATTATTATTATAGGTAAGAGAGAAGAAGAGTTAGCACAAGCTATGGTTCGTGTTGATGAAGAAGGAGCTCAGAAAGCTCAAGCTCAGAAGGCTTTACGAGAATTGGAAAGTCAGTTGGCCGAACTTCAGGAAGATTTAGAAGCCGAAAAGGCTGCACGTAGCAAAGCTGAAAAAATGAAGCGAGATTTGAACGAAGAACTTGAAGCCCTTAAGAATGAACTTCTCGATTCCCTCGACACTACTGCTGCCCAACAGGTAGAGTATTCACAATGAAATTGCATTTGATACATAATCTCTACTTTATATTACAGGAGTTAAGGTCAAAGCGAGAACAGGAACTCGCAACATTAAAGAAAACCCTCGAGGAAGAAACACAGTTACATGAAGTAACTTTAGCAGATATGAGACATAAACACAGCCAGGAAGTAACGGCTATCAATGAGCAATTGGAGAACTTGAAGAAAACTAAGACTGGATTAGAAAAGTCAAAGCAGTCGTTGGAAGCTGAAAATGCTGATTTAGCAACTGAACTTCGGAACTTAAGCGCTACCAGACAAGAGAGTAAATTTGAGGTCTTACCTAGGAATATATATTTTTACCTAAGTTTTGTATATTTAAAGGTGACAGACGCCGAAAGCAAGCCGAAAGTCAACTAGCTGAAATACAGGCAAAACTTGCTGAAGTAGATAGGTCTAAAGTTGAATTACAAGACAAGGTTATAAAGCTACAACAGGAAGCAGAATCAATGGCACAGCAGCTTGAAGAAGCTGAACTGAAGTAAGCTTTTACTTGTTTTGTCGAGTTTATGATAAATTATTTCTTGTCCACATTATTATATTGAAATGAAGCTTCGAAGAAAATCAGATCTTTAGTGCATTAAATAATTTTCTATCTTTTAGAGCTTCTGCAGCTCTTAAGAATCAAGGAACCATCGAATCTCAACTTTCAGAAGCTCAAGCAGCTCTGGAAGAAGAAACACGACAAAAATTGGCTCTTAGTTCAAAACTGAGGCAAATTGAAGCAGAAAAAGAACAACTTCACGATCAACTTGAAGAGGAAGAAGAAGCAAAACGAAATTTAGAAAAGCAAGTAAGTAAAATCAAAGTTTAGCAATTTTTTTTGTACTTATATTTTATTATTTCTTTCTTGTTGCCAGGTGGTTACATTGACTGTGCAAATACAGGAAGCGAAAAAGAAAGCTGAAGAAGAAGCTGAGCAAGTTGTTGTACTTGAAGAACTCAAGAAGAAATTACTTAAAGATTTGGAAGCATTGCAACGACAAGTGGAAGAATTGTTGGCTGCTAATGACAAATTAGAAAAAAGTAAAAAGAAAATAGCAGCAGAATTGGAAGATGCCAATATCGATCTTGAAACGCAAAGACAGAAAGTAGCTGAACTCGAAAAGAAGCAAAAGAACTTCGACAAGGTAGGTTATTTTAATGTATATTAAGCCCCTGATCTAATACTAATAATATACAAATAATTCATAAGTAGTTTAAGCTCTGCCTAAAATTTCAAGAAGACTATATTAGCATGTGAAATAATTAAAAAGTAAGCATATATAAAAGTATATATACATACATATGTATTTACATATGATGGCGGAAAATTTAGTTTACAATATGCAAAATATAATTTGTCAATTTTAGACAAGTTCCTGGTTTTAAAAACGATTTTTTTAAATAGATTTTGGCCGAAGAAAAGTCTGTCAGTGAACAAATGGCTCAAGAGCGAGATGCTGCTGAACGCGAAGCCCGTGAAAAAGAAACAAAAGTTCTTTCTCTAAGTCGCGAACTCGACGAGTCCAACGAAAAAATCGAGGAATTAGAACGAGCCCGAAGACAACTTCAAGCCGAGCTCGATGAGTTAGTAAACAATCAAGGAACAGCGGATAAGAATGTGCATGAACTTGAGAAAGCCAAGCGCGCCCTCGAAAATCAATTGGCCGAATTGAAAGCCCAAACGGAAGAATTGGAAGACGAACTTCAACTTACAGAGGATGCCAAATTACGTCTTGAAGTTAATATGCAAGCATTACGAGCGCAGTTTGAAAGAGACTTGCAGGCTAAGGAAGAACAAGCTGAAGAAAAGAGAAGGCTCCTTATGAAACAATTAAGAGACCTGGAGGCAGAATTAGATGAAGAAAGGAAACAGAGAACAGCAGCAGTAGCAGCAAGGAAAAAATTAGAAGGTAAAAAATATGTAGTCGTTTGTGGTTGTTCCTAATCCGGTAAATTTTTATTTCGCGAATTACCAAAGCTTCCAGTATATTGTTGCTAGCTGCGGAAGTAGATAATGTTAAATATCGTGAAAAAGGATAATATTCATTTCAAAAGAGTGATAATGATAATGTTTTTTCCTTTTGCTACCTTCATATGCTGATTTATACATCGGTAAGTAACGTTTTTGGAAACGTGATATCTGAATAATTATATATCACCTAAGTCATTTTCTCAGATAGTTAGATTGATCTTGAAATTATAACTCAATATTCGTGTGCTTTAAAATCGAATTTCTATGATATCAACGAATAGAAGATGCTTACAGATGACTTGTTTTAGAATTTGAGAGGCAGAAACGTTGTTATTAACTAACAATATATTTTTGCACCAGATGTTAAATATATGTATTAAGCAAAAAAATCTAAACAATTAAGGGTTAAAAGGTTTACATTTGCGTGTAGAACCAACACCATCGTTTCTAATTGGGAGGTTTTCAAGTTAGATAAAGATATCAAAGTAGATAAAGGTTCAACAACACAAACGAAATTGAATTCACGAATAAACGAACTATTCTCTTATTACTGTATGGTCCCTGTAAAATACAAAAATCTCGTCATACTTTAATTTTCGTTTTGGAAAACATATCGGTGCTATTTTTAATTGAAATCAGCAGTATAAATAAAGCTTTTATTTTTATTAGGTGACTTGAAAGAAATGGAGGCTCAAGTCGAATTGCAGTGTAAAGTGAAGGAGGATGCACTAAAACAATTGAAGAAATCCCAACAACAGTATAAGGAAGCTGCCAGAGATGCAGAAGAAGCAAGAACTGCCAGAGATGAATTAGCTGCCAGTAGCAAAGATGCTGAAAGAAAGGTGAAGACATTGGAAGCGGAACTCCTACAAGTCACCGAAGATCTTGCCAATTCTGAAAGAACGAGAAGAGCCGCTGAAGCAGAAAGAGACGAACTACAAGAAGAACTAAATGGAAATGCAAGCAAAGGTACGTACTTCTTAATATTTTTTTGTTTTATATTTATTTGCATTGTATTAAAATGTAAACCGCGAGTGATTAAAATGATTTTTTTAAATAATTTTGGAAATGAATAATGAAGTTGCATAAAATTTAAAAATACCTGTAAGAACATTCCTACGGTGTGAGTACCATTTTTGAAATAGGAAAAAATTCAAATCAAACTATTGGTGTTTTCGAGATAGAAAAGTTACCGCGCGGTGTGTACCGAATATTTCCGAATTTTACCGAAGAGTTTAAATTTCTGATACATTATTCCCACGCTAAGAAGGGAATGTACGTATGTGTGCTATCATTTACTGTTCTTTTGTTTCGACTTTTTTAAAGAAGAAGGAACGGAATATACTTATTATCATATACATCGTAATAGTTATACATATATGACAGTTATTGATGCAAAATGGATTCGTGAGATTTCGGAACTATTCGGTTACTTTCGATAATGTTCGGTAGACACACTGCGCGGTGATCTCGAAAACACCATTTAACTTCTATACAAACAATTAAATATTGTGTTTTGTATGTTTGTTTAATTAAATGACTGTTTTTTTTTTCTTTTAGCGAGTCTTCTAATTGACGAAAAGCGCCGATTGGAAGCCCGAATCTCAGCACTTGAAGAAGAACTTGAAGACGAACAGGGCAATACAGAAATTCTCAATGATAAAGCACGTAAAGCTCAACTTCTTGTAGAACAACTCCAGTCTGAACTCGGCAACGAACGTTCCTCTTCTCAAAAACTTGAATCCAGTCGTCTCCTTCTTGAACGTCAGAATAAAGAATTGAAAGCAAAACTGGCTGAACTTGAAACATCGCAAAGAACCAAAACAAAAGCCACCATCGCATCATTAGAGGGCAAGATTAACAATTTAGAAGAACAACTTGAAGCTGAGGCTAAAGAACGCTATGCTCAACAGAAACAGAATAGAAAATTGGACAAAAAGCTTAAAGAAATGGTCCTCCAATTGGATGACGAGAGAAGGCATGCTGATCAGTATAAGGAACAAGTGGAAAAAGTGAATGCTAGGGTAAAGGCATTGAAGAGACAGTTAGACGAAGCAGAGGAAGAGATTAGTAGAGAGAAGGCGCAGAAGAGGAAGGCTCAGAGAGAATGTGAGGACATGCTCGAGTCTCACGAATCCATGAATAGAGAAATAAGTAATCTTAAAAATAAGCTCAGGTAAGAAAAATTTTACAATTTATTTTTCAAAATACTGTTACCAAGGTTTTAATATTATTTCTCACATTAAATATATTTGTCGGTTTTGGGAAGTTATTTTTGTTGCCTACTTTTTGTGTAGATTCCTATTTTTGCTATGTGTAAGTAAACAAATATGTTTGTTACAAAATCAGAATCGTCTTAAGGAAGTTCTAGTATTTACATTAACTATTTAGAGTATTGGATTTCTTGTAAGATCTAACGTTGTAAGTAAAAATAATTGGAAGTTTTTTATAGCAAAAATTATATCATGTCTCTTGCTTCTTATCAGGGGTAGGCCATTAACTTTGAAGTTCCTGAACCAACTATTGTTTAAGCAGAATTTTAATTTTTTTGAACACTACAAATGTTGATTAGTAGGATGTTGTACTGATTTACTATATAGAAAAAAAAACCTTCAAAATTATAATTTATTGACAGTTCTCGTGACAACTATAATTCAATTTTATAATGAAGTGATATAAAACTTCGTTTGCTTTTCAGTACATTAAATAAAGAAACTCCTANTTTATATCTAACTGACGTAATTCCATATAAATTTGATTTGTTTGAACAGAGCAGATAAACTATGAAATTTTTAACACAATTAGGATAGTATTAATCACTTGGCAACCTTAGCTAAGTCAGTGGTTACGTCGATTTTAAAAACTCTCCGATTCGTATCTATGATTCATAGATTACAGTGGGTATCTATGAAAAATGAGGAATTTTATTAATAATAATAATATTTTTGCTTAATTTGAGAAATCAAGCCTAGAATTTTTAATGTAAAACGTATTTGACACTCGTTTAAATATTTAAGTCGAAGTTGGATCTTACAGTTTTTATTGTTTTTGCTGTAGTTTTAAAGTTAATATTTTATAAAACAACAATGAACTGTTTTCCTTTGTACTTTTTCAGTCAGTTTAAATCATGATATGGTGAAAAGTGACTCATCGGTTTATTCTAAGTTCTTAAGTCTATATTGGTAGGTGGGTGGTGGTTAATTGGCTTGGTTTTTGTTAGTTTCATTTGTTGTTAACACCCTGTTTTAATGTGGAGTGATGTGATAGATATAAACAATAAAATATACATGATTACTACTACCACTACTCTATTACGAAAAAGTACTTGGTGCATGTAAGTTATTTGTCTAAATTAATTCTCTTCTTTAACTGCTATCTATTATCTATGTTTAATTTAAATATTAGAAACCTTAAATGCATGCATTTTTTATTATATGATCCATTTAAAGAAGTATGATGACTTTATGTATTATTAAATTTTTTCAGTTGAATTTTTTGATTGCATGTTTTATTATCAAAAATGAATACATAAAATTTTATTTATTTGTGTATATAACTTGATTTATTGTAGTAACCAAATTGTTATCGAGAAGTATGATGATTGTAGTTTTTTTATTTTTTTGTTTTTTATTGGACCAATGCTATTAAGTGCTATCTTTGCAAATTAACAGCATGCGTTTATTGTTTTATATTCTGACGTTGTTTGTTTTTAATAACTTCTATAACTTTAGTTAAACAATATTTTCACAGGATTCGAGGTCCATATAGGAATGGGTAAAAGTCCAATTCGCTGTAAATTCATTTAAAAAGTTAACATTTTTAATATTTTCCGTATCTGCTCCGAAGTTTTTTAATTTTTCAATACAGCTTTGGAGAAAATACTAGCAATATGTTTAATAAAAAAATGGTTTTGAAAATTTAAAACTGCTCAAGAAATAGCGTCGAAACATATTTGTTGTTTTCATGTTGTTTTTGAAAAATTATTTATTACTATTATAGGTATGGTTTTGTAATGTAGGTGCTTTAAATTTTACGTTAAAAGTAACTAAAACATATTGACTGAAATATATTGAAAACGGAAATCATTAAATAATGAATTATGAAATACTCACAAAATAGTATCATTTTGTTGCAGATTTTACATTAGTTTGATTCGCAATTAATTTTATAAAATATTCATGGTTTTGATTAATTAAACGTCATAATCAATTGGGGATTATAACTTTTTTTTACTATTTTTAACAATTTAGAAGTCTGCTTTATTTTCGATTTGTAGATATGAGAAAATTCAAGTATTGTATTTTTACAGAAGAAACACCAGCATGGGTATGTCACGACTTGCTCCATCAAAAAGAGGTTCCCTTCCACCAAATAACGGTTCCGGGGACGACTCCACAACCCAGGACGAAACCATGGACGGAGACGATACCCCAATATAATTTAATACTAAACGCAGAGAGGCTCCTCTTTATTCGATTCGAATGAAACAGTATTAAATTTCCGGCCCTTATAACCATACGGTTTAAAATTAATTTTTGTTTACTTATTCTTTTTTGTTTTTTTTTTTTTTTAATTATAAGTGGATAATTCGGGCCACGAAATCGAATAAAAGTGAGTCGCTTTCGTTGTAAATAAAAAAAAAAAACATATTTGGTACTTACCAATGCCAGCATCAATTAATCTGTCCTATTAAGTTTATATCGCTTTGCTACTAGCGTACTACGACGAGTTTGCAACCTGTATTTCGATTTTTTACTTCACCCTTTAGAAAAGTTGTTTAGGTGCTGTTGTACATTAATGAGATATTAAGATAAATTGGGAGGTAGGAAATTAATATTTAATTGGCTCAATTTGGCAAAAAGAAGACTGAAAAGAATAATATTTGCGTAAATTCATTGTATTTATTCTATACCAAAGTTTTAGCAAATTCCTGATTTTTAGCAAGTTTTTATCAGAATACCACTATCTACTAGCAAATGAAATACTACAGTTAACGGTCAATATCATATATATACGGCTAATAACTTGCTTTTATGGAGACACTTCACTCGATGATTTAGCTGAAGTTAATTCTTTGTTTCTTTTCAAAATAAAGAAAAAAGCTTAAAAATATGAATTTACTCAAATATTGGCAGAAAAAGGCTACTTACACAGGAAACTTCTCTGTAAGTAGTCTGTCATTCTGGCTAATTTTCAAATGATAAACTTGGAAGTTATACTGAAAAGTAGAAGTTTAAATTTTTTATTGAGGTAAGTTAACAAGAAAATGTTCTTCTAATTAATGTGCCTTAATTTGTAAAATTTAGTAGTTAGGTGTACTGTTACGGAGTTCAATTGAATCAGGATTTTATTATTTATTTCATCTTATTGTATTTTATGTTAACTTTGTTGATCAATTTCAATTGTGTTTTTTATTTACTTAATTGATAAAGTAAAATTAATTTAACCAATTTTTTACTATCAGTAATTATTGTTATTAACTTGAGACTTTTCGCTGTTGCTTCAATTGGTAAGGTGTCTGCAAACCCGTCGTTTCGAGCCACTTTACATGCCTTCTGTTGGTAATGCCGTTTAATTTCGGAATTGATTGATGGCAATAAGTCCTTTAGAAAACTTGAAACGTTATTTTTTATATGTTCTTCTTTTAATAAACGGCCTTATATAATTATAAGCTAATGTATAGAAAAGTAACAAAACATACGCATTTTGTTATTTGTGCATTTTTGTAGAGTATATTGTTTGCTAGTGATTTTTCTTGAATTTAAAAATGTTTAATTCCGATCAACTCATGAAGGGATCCGAATGAAGTTCCATGAAGAAAAAACCGGCAAACTAAAATACTGTATCGTAATTACATGCTTTTAACATATGCATTATAGTGATAACAACATGTTAACACTTAATAATTAGCCTAATAATTATTAATGAATTAATAACTGTAGCAACTTTTGATACTTTTTAATATTGTAGAATATATCATTATACATTACTGTATTTTGTAAAAAAAGACTCTATTTAAAGCATGATTTTTTGATATGAAACATTTTGTATAAAATATTCCTTGTACATACTTATTTTTTTTTTTTTCGGAATTGGGCTTTAGGTGATCTTTATATGTTAAATAAATTTAACAAACTCTACTTCTGAAGTTTTTATTCAAGAAAAGATTCCTGATAAGTGCAGGACAGTGTATATGCATAGCGTATTAATCATGGTGGTTTAGTTTTCAGTAAATAATATCGCGTAAATATCTGTGTCTAAATCTTCAAAATTATTTAAAGATAAATAAACGCCATCATTTTACAATTAGAGCATCTAAAGTCTAAGATTCGAATTTGTAAATGAATTTTTTGCCTTTATATCTAACTGACGTAATTCCATATAAATTTGATTTGTTTGAACAGAGCAGATAAACTATGAAATTTTTAACACAATTAGGATAGTATTAATCACTTGGCAACCTTAGCTAAGTCAGTGGTTACGTCGATTTTAAAAACTCTCCGATTCGTATCTATGATTCATAGATTACAGTGGGTATCTATGAAAAATGAGGAATTTTGACGAGTATGGAGTTTGCTTTATTATAACTGTATTGTATAGTAGTAACACATTAGTGAAATGTATTTTAATAATATAATAATGTTGTTTATTATAGTTAAATTCTAATCTACGCGTTCAAGAATATAATAAGTATCTTTAGTGGACATATATATGTCCAATATCGTATAAAAATTAAAACGGATTATCATATAAAGCAGGTATTAGTGACATTATTTAAATGTTATAATACAATTATTTGTGTTAAATTTTAGTGAAATAATGTTTGTGCAATATCGGCATCATATCCCATTAAATAACAAAAATGATGACCACAGCTAAACTTAAGAATAGTAAGGAATCAAAGTACAAATTGTGATATTACAATGTTTAGAAGTAGAAGCTGGTTTGGGGGTGGTTGGGGTCGCCCAAAAAATCCACATTCCATTGAACACTTGAAATATCTTTATAATGTGTTGTCTAGAAATCATACAGTTTCTGAACACAATAGAGGCTTATTAGTTGAAACTTTAAGGTCAATAGCAGAAATATTAATTTGGGGTGATCAAAATGATTCTTCAGTTTTTGAGTAAGTTTAATTTTTTTTTTCTATGTGATAATTGAAGGTTTTTCATATACAGGAACTATTTAACGATTTCATTTTCAGTTTCTTTTTGGAAAAAAATATGTTATCATTTTTTCTGCGTATCATGAGACAAAGAAGTGGTGGTTCTAACTTTGTTTGTGTACAGCTTTTACAAACCTTAAACATTCTGTTTGAAAATATACGAAATGAAACTTCATTATGTGAGTAAATTTTATTAGGTAAAACTTAAAAAAGTCTAAATTTTAATTTGTAGATTATTTGTTATCCAATAATCATGTAAACTCGATAATTGTGCATAAGTTTGATTTTTCTGATGAAGAAGTAATGGCATACTACATTTCTTTCTTGAAAACGTTAAGTCTAAAACTGAATGCTCACACTATACACTTTTTCTATAATGAGGTAAGATAAGAAATTGTAGTAATCAAAATTTATTTATTCTGTAATATTCTTGTATGAACATTATGTCAGTAGTTTATTGATTATAACATTTTGCTAAATTCTTTCATACTTGAAGTGGTTATTATTAGCCAAGCAATTTTTAAAAACTATTCAGAATGTAACATTTCTGATTCATTGAGTAATTTAATTTGAGAAATATAAATAAAAGGCTAAGTAAGTATAGTGAATTTTCCGCAAGGTTAAATTGAAGTCCACATTTTTGCTGAATGTTTCAAGTAAAATAGTTGAATAGTGTTTAATATACCGGGTTGATGGTCTTTGTAAAAGATTGATTGTCTCCCTTTGCTGAGAGAACATTTATTTTTTATTTTGTGTTTATTTGGATCATATAAATTATAAATTACATATTTATTAATAAAACAGTATATCACTTAAAAAAATATCCCAAAAAGCATATATTTTTGAATTATGTTACACACATGCACATACCAGTGTGTGGTGCATTGGGTATGTTTGTGAGCAGTTTATGCATAAAACTATTTTGATAGAGATGCTCATAAACATTGGTCACTTAATGTTTCAGATTTTTATTTACTTGAAAACTGTTGAATATTAAAGGCTTCTATTAAATGTATTTTATCAGTTTAATGTGGTGCCAATATCATACATACTTACATGGCAATGGCATTTACATGGGCATACATTATTATTTGGTAAAAATTAAAGTGTATATTTTAGCACACCAATGACTTTCCATTGTATACTGAAGCAATTAAGTTTTTTAATCATCCAGAATCGATGGTGAGAATAGCTGTTCGAACTTTAACTTTGAATGTGTATAAGGTGGAAGACTCTAGCATGCTAACCTTTATCCGAGACCGTACAGCAGCTCCTTACTTCTCAAATATTGTATGGTTTATTGGAAAGCATGTCCAGGAACTAGACAACTGTGTTAGAAATGATGCAGAGTAAGTCTTATTTTATTTATTAATTCTAGCAATTCTCAATTCCTCTACAACAATGTAATGACAATGAGAATTTTATTTTATTTTTATTTATTTGTTTAAAGAGGAAAAAGAGGATTAACCCCATATTCTGTTATAACATTAGGTCAAATTTGTATGTTTAGTATTTCCATGTCTAAATATTTTGTTTCTTAATCACACAAGAGATAATAATTTGAAAAACTTTACTTACTTAATAAATCAAATAATGAGCTTATTTTGTTAAAATTATACTGTTTACACTCTTACAACTAAGCCACTGCACAAGTTAATTTTTCTAGTTTCTAAACAGGAAAAACAAATCTCGTTAATGAACTTTCTTTGCTTTAAAAAGATATTCGTATATGTGATCATTAGGAAAGATAATTATATTTTTGTGATATTTAATGAAAAATTATGTCAAAGGAAATATTTTGAGATATTTTAATAAACTTTTGATACTGAAATAAAGTGGAATAAGAGATGTTTTTTTATCTTTTTTTCAATACTGTTTTTACCAGATACTCATTTTATTGAGTTAGTTTTAAATGTTTAAATAAAAAAAATTAAATAAGAGTTGGGAGAAGTCAATGTGCTGAAGTTAAGGAATTGTTAAGTTAAGGAGGGTTGAAAATTAAGATTAAGTGTTATTCTAAATTTCGCAGAAGTACTCTTTGGTAGCCATTCTATCTCATTTCTTAATATTTGTAGCCATCAGTCACAAAACAGACTTGCTGATCTTGTGGCCGAACACTTGGACCACCTTCATTATTTGAATGATATACTGTTACTAAACATAACGGATCTGAACCAAGTGCTCGCCGATCATCTGCTCAACAAGCTTTTGATACCTCTTTATATTTATTCGTTAACCTCTCTCCGACACCATGGAACCCCTGAAAATCTGGCAAAAGTTCTCAATCACAATCTAGGTTTAGGCGAAACTCCGCCCTCCACTTTTGCGGGTACTACCACTCTACTCGAAACAAATAGTGGAAAAGTATCTTGCATAGTCGCGTTCTTTTTGCTCTCGCAAGTGTTTCTAATTATCTCATATCAACCCGTTGTCCGTACTCTGGCATGGATAATTTTGAAAACGGACAAACGTACGTATCAAGAAGGGATTGATAAGTTACTGGAAAACTACGAGAATTATAAAAAGGCAATTGACGAGGGAAATACAAATAGTCAAATAGAAATAGCATCGAACGCTAGCAGTGCGGGATCTAAAGAAAATTTAGTAGAAGAGGAGCAAAAGAATATAACGGACGAAGAAAAGGAAAAGTTAGCTACAACTCCAATAGAAACCAACGTTACCGATAAACCGTTTTTGGAAATTGTGTATAATGCTTTGGACTGCACTGATAACGACTATGCTGTTCTGTTTGCTTTGTGTCTACTGTATGCAATTGCAAACAACAAAGGTACGTTCAATGTTTTCTTAAGGCAGTCCTATCGAAATTTTATTTACCGTTAAATAACAATAAATTTTATACTAATCAATAATTGAAACCTATTCATTGACTTTTAACAGAGTAAAAGCTTAAATAATCTTGTTTTTAAAAAGGATCATTTAAGATGTAATTCTTAGTGCTCACTCATCTTTTGCGATTTTTAATAATGAAACTTCTTTTTAACTTAATTTTTTATTGGCTTTTTGTGCTTTACGGGTCTTTTATAAACAAAAAAAACTATGTTGTCTCATTGAAATAACGACCATATTATATATTGCTATTTGTAACGAATTATTCTGTTTCCCTTCAAACAAATTAGTGATTATGAAATTCGGAAATTAAGCCAATTAAAAACAGAAGTTCAGATAATGTTTTTACACTTAAACATTTATTTAGCATATTTATTTATTGAGATTTTGTGAACATTATTTTTTAATAAAATTCAAAGTTACAACTGGTTACATAGTTGCTATCATTTACTTTACGGTTAGTCTCATATTTGTACATACTTCTGTAATATTTCTTCAAACATTGCAGGAGTAACCTCTGATCTTCTGGAACTAGTCCTACGTCCAAAAAAGGTTCTCATTTCGAAACGTTGTACTTCTTCTCCATCACAAACAGCTAAAGATATAAAATATTCGTATAACACATATTTAGTGGAAAAACTCCTCCATATAGTAGTTTTAGCATGTCAACCGTCCTGCAGAATAAGGCTAGTCACTCTGGAATTAGCTTTAAAGTTGATAATTCAATTAGTAATGTGCGACGGTAAAAATGTGATGAACGAGGCGCATAAGGTTTCATTGGAAGCTGCACGGTCCCAAAGCACCGCCCTACTCCGTAATTTTTATAAAAGCGAGGAAATTTTCCTAGACATGTTTGAACACGAGTAAGTATTAATTAATTACTGGTTTTTGTAAATTTAATGGTGACATTGAATTTTTGTTGTTGGATTCAATAAAGGTATTGCGACATGTCTAAAGGCCCTCTGAATGTGGAGTGGTTGTGTATGGATAGTGCGATTTTGTTACCCCCAACGGGGACACCGATGACTGGGATCGATTTTATTAAACGTCTTCCATGTGGTGAGGTAAGCATTTCTGTTACGCATAGAAAATTAATTTAAGCTGGCTTTCAAATTATTTTAATCAATATTTGATGCGTATATTACATTATATTCGAAAGTATTCTAAGAAAATTGGGCTTATCGTTCGTATAAATTATTTGGAAAATTTTAAAATATGCTGGTGATATTTTTGTAATTTCGAAATGTACATCATACAATTAAAGTATTGGACATTATTAAAAAGTAATTTACATTATATTTGAAGAATTATGGAAACAAATTAATTGTTCCATAAACAAAAATGCATCATTTTTGAATCAAAAGAGATTTTTGAAAAATAACTGCCTAAATTATTCCTAGAAATTACTTACCTGTCATACAATTTATAAATAAAGGCATTTTAAAAAATTGGAAGAGGCAATAAGTTCTCATAAGCTTTTACGGTCGGTGTTAAAGACAATTGTTTGAGTTTTTTGGGCTGCGTTGCCGTATATAAAAAAAAGTTTGTCATAGTTGACAATGCCGGAAGCAGGACTAAATCGAGCATGTCATAACTCAATAAGAATATACTGAAGATGTCAAATGCTATGCGTGGCAAGTATGCAGTTAAGCAAAGAACACTGCAGTACAACCCAATAACTCAACCTGCTGTAATTAAACACAACAATGTAACACTTGCTATACAGCATTATAAAAGTTTATTTCTTAGTATATGTACTTCAGCAATTTACGTCTGAGCCAATTTATGGTATTTTGTACGAACCATTAATAAATACATCTATTAAATTTGGTTAAAAGGTAGTTTTTTCATTTTTTTTTAATGAAAGAAATCCGTCATTCAGGTTGAAAGAGCGAGGCGAGCTATACGGGTGTTTTTCCTTGTTCGCGATACTGTCCTTACTCTGAATGGAGAAATGGAAACGGACCTGCCCCTTACTAATCCTCAGAGCTGCGTTCAGATCGACACCGCACTGGACCTGAGTATAGCTCGTTGTGTGTCACTACCACTAGAATTTGACAATCGCTAGAACTATTTTTTTTTACAAATCAATATTTTATTTGGCGCTTCTTATTTTCTTTAGGCTTTACTGTTATTATGATTATAATTATTGTTATTACATTTTGAATGCCATTTATTTATTTTTTCCTAACGGTAATGAATTGGGCCATTTTTATGCAGCTATGTATTCGTTGAGAATAAAAGTTTTTCTTTTGTTAAAGTCAGTACATTATGTCGAGTAATGCATGTGGGTGTGTTTGTAATGCAATATTTGTGAAACAGTTTACTGGGGTTGCAATCTTACAATAGTCGTAACGGGAATTGAAAATACTATTGATAAGATAGTCCATTTTTCCAAACTACAGGGACTCGAGTAACTTCACTAATTGCTGTTGCTGCTTATTTGGATATCTTGTATAGAATAAAAAACAAGTTAGGCATTTCTTTTCAAAAGAATGAAACTGTTAACAACATCCGAAAAGCGCAACGTTCAATAATAATTTAACCATCATTGGCAATTTGGATAATCAGAAATTTGTATAAATGGATTGCTAATACTGTATTTTTGAATTTGAAAATATTTGTGAAGTTTTAGAAACCTATTTATACGCTACATCTGGATAATCCAAAGGTTTTTGCTTGACGGACATATAAAATTCGTGTCTGTACTGTACCAAATGTTCGTTTCGACTGTTATACATAAAAAATACAGGAATAATCTCAAAAAATGGCTCGCAACTCCATAAAAAGTTGTAGCATTCAAAAAATTAATTTTTCTTTAAAAAAATAATTCGTTTATGTTGTAACTTAAATGCGGTTTCTTAATTTTAGTTACTTAAGTACAGAAGACAATAAATCGTTTTTAATTTTAACACACTATCATATTACTTAATTTAAAATATCTTTACTATTAACTTTTTGTGTTCCGAGATTAAGAAAATTTTATTTTAATAACGCAGTGTTGCTTCTAGTTCAAATTTTTTAGTGTTTTATTTTTGTTGATTGGTACCTACCACATCGTCATCTAATGGGAAGAAGGCGGTCTTATTGTGGTCCAGTTCTAGCGGTTGTTAAGATTCTGTGGTAAATGTATTCCACAAGATCTTTTCTTTTTTAATGCGCCTTCTTGGCGCGACTTTTACAGATAACTCGGACCTTATAGCATGTACCGTAGTAGGAAAGGATGGTCAGAAGATTAGAAGATTCCTTGTTATTGATATTATGCAACTAATCCTCGTGGAACCAGATCCGAAGAAGTTAGGATGGGGTGTAGCTAAATTGGTGGGTTTCCTACAAGACATTGAAGTTACAGGAGACAAAGATGATTCTAGATGTTTGCATATCACTATATACCGGCCGCTATCGAATTCATCTGCCAACAGGGTGCCCCTTTTATCTGCTAAGTTTGTCTTTGATGATAATATAAGATGCATGGCAGCGAAACAACGTTTAACAAAAGTAAGTTTTTTAAAGGACAAGGATCAGTAAGTTCCCATTTCCACCCCAAAATAAATAAAACTTCTTTATTTTAGGGTGAAAGTTGGGTCTTATCGACCCTTGTCTACATTGTTTGTTAAAAAAAGAGTTTATTAAGGCAACAAGTGTATCGTTTCGTTAATTTAACGTGTACGTTTACTATTAGTTGATTTTTCGTTAAGTACTAAATATTGTTGCCAAGCTGTTTCATTTGATTGTTTTTCAGTGAAAAGCATTCTCAGTGTCGTGGTGTTTTTTAAGTTTGCAACTGTTTATAAATTAACTCAATACATATACCTATTTTTATTCAAAATGTGGTATATCAAAAATACGTACAATGTACTTACATTTTGTTAAAATAAAATATATTTTCAGGGGAGGATTAAAGCCCGTCAAAAGAAAATGCAACACATAGCTCGACTTCTGGATATTCCTGGACAAACAGGCCCTCCAAGTCCTGCATATGTCGGCGCAGGACATCATCAGTGTCGAGGAAGTGGCTCCCGCCTACTTTTTCATGCTGGCCGGTTGCCAGGATTCGTTACTAGACGTGACAATGGTCCTGGCATTGCACATAGAGCTGATGACACTATCAGGCCCAGAAGTCCCAGTCGTCACACTGGAGCAATAAAGAAAGATGAAAAAACAAAAAAAGAAGCGCAGAGTCGTTCGAGAGAACCTTCTGCAAATAGAAATCGGTCCAGAGAAGGTAGTCCACGAATGCCACGACCTCGTTCAGAAGAAATTCCTCTCGAGTTGATCAAAAAAAGCAGAAATGCCGAGGTAGAGGTCGCGTCAAAAATTACTATTGTTTCTAGGCCACAAACTCCAAAGACTGAAGGAGGAGACGTTGCTTCTTCGACATTATCTTCATTACAAACTCATTCGTCTGAGGAAACGTCATTTATTGCTCAGAATGATGCTGCTAGGACTTCTACAAGTAGTAGTAGCAAAAATAAAGGATTTATCGAAACGATATAATCTTTAGTGAGTGAAGTGCATAGTCTGACGACCAACAAATCTAATAACGTAAGTAATTTTAACACGGGATTGTTGTACATTATTTAGCTACAGAAACGACAGTTTTTTTTTAATAAACATGTAATTTAAGAAAGTGCTACGTAATTTTTTGCAAGTACTTGTTTTATTAATTTAATTTTTGATTGATGAATGATCAACTTTCAAGTGTAAAAATTAGATGCAAAGATATGTTAAACTTTCAAGTTCAGTTTTGCATAAAATACGTATAGCGGTAATGATACACCGGTAATTATTAAGATTTTCGTTTGTGCAGAAAAGTTAGTAAGTAATTAATTTTGCAAGTAAAAATTTATGAATTGAAACTTCAGAAGACAGACATATTCTTAAGTGTTATTTATTTTAAAATATTCAATTTAGCAATATTTTGAAAATATTAATGTTTTCAAATAATGATCATATATATTAAACAACGATAGAAAAGGTCCGTTATTATTTTTCAACTCACATTACCGCAGTTTACAAACATAGAACTCGTAATAACTATTGTCTCAATGGTTATTATTTTAGATTATAGTCTTATCTTAGTTTTATTAGATGGAAGTCACGACAGTAGGTGTCGATCCACATTCTGAGGACTAGGGAGTGCAACGTACTGCGCAAAAGGTGAAACACGCAGACTTGATCTCTGCTGTTTACAGCAGAGAAGAGAGACTAGTATAGAAGTCCAATGCTGGGTTAATAATCCGGACTTCGTTTCGGATAACATGTCGGTAAATCTCGAAGCTTCTTTCATCCGACCGGTAGTTGTCGCTTCGGAAAATCAACCGTTTTTTTTTTTCCTTTGCAAACTTGGCTTACAACAGCAAAGTAAAAAGACTTATGCGTTCTATGATCCCACCACTTCTACTATTTACCCCTGCCATTACTGCGTTCACTCTTTGCTCCGACTCAATACAGCGTTGAAGCGCTCATTTTCGTAGCTACGCCATCTCCTGGTTCTATTTAGAATTTCTTACTCACGTTTTAGTCCTCCATTTGAATTGGACTTCTATACTAGTCTCTCTTCTCTGGTTTACAGCTTAAAATAGTGGAAGCACCACTGAATACAACAGCAGTAGTTTGTCAAGTGTAGAAAGAGATAGAAAAGAAAGTGTATCTTTAGATTCTTTTCGATGTCTGTTGGTTCTCCTTTTGCAAAGGTGTTAGTGAAAAAATTATCTCCAGTTCCTTTTTATGCTTTATGACGACCTCAACACGTCCCCTATATCCTCTTAAGATTACAATTCACCTAGGTGAATTCCAATTTTTATGTAAATACGTTTTTACAATAGATCAGTTCAAAGAATACTACTAATTACATAGTTATAGTTTCTATGAGAGCAGTCAAATCTATGATGAAATCGCAAATCCATAAATTTTAATGATAATATTTGTAGTCATTTTCCAGTTATCCATTATGGTACATGTATGCATATGTACGGAAGTATAGTTTAATCATTTTCAATCCTAATTTTGAAATAATCTATGATCCTGGATCCATGTTTGTCTATGACCTATGTCTTGAACTTATCTGTGGTCTTGAACTAAGTTTGTCTATGAACCAAGTGATGCATGTCAGATTTGATGGACTTACTCAATTAGCGTTCTTTTGTTTTGCTAGTTATTATCGTACTATAAATAATGTATTTATATTTAAGTAATGAATATTGTTGAATGTAACAAATTATTTACAGGATCATAACACAAATTGTGGAGATCGTATGTCGTGAAGTATTGGTCTTTACGATCTTCTACTCTAGAATGTGACTGGCAGAAGAAAACGTAAACGTGCAGTTTTCCATTAGAAATACAGAACATAGTAAAGCGAGAATTTTTAACGACATGGCAATGTCTTGAGTGCACAAAGGGTTAATAAAATTAGAATGGTAAGTAACAACATTGAATAACAATAATTAGAGTATAAAAATGTAATAAAGTTATGAGACACGACTTAAAAGAACTGATGATGGTATACGATTGTGCTCCAGCAAGTAAAGTATGCAAATTTCATAGGACAGTTGCACTCAATTTTTATTATCTATAGGTGTATATCTGTAACTATATATGTGCATGCATTTGTTTAATCATCTCAGATATACAATAGAGTCTGGAAGACACTAAATATTTCCTATTACCTATCACAAAATCTTTTTTTAGAATTTTATTTTTACAATTTAAGAAAAACATTCTAGGTGCAAATTACATTAACTCTTTGCAATAACAAAACCTAAATAAAGAGGTAACTGATAATTTTACCTGGTTTGTTTCTTCCTTAAAAAAATTTGAATATTGTAATGCATTCTTTTTTTATAAATTATTTCCAAATTTTTTTAATTATTTTCAGAATCATTTTAGAAAATACAAACTATATGTTTTTATGTTTATCGGCTATTTGGAAATAACAACATTAATTAAGGAATAAACAAAAAAAATAATGATGAGATCAAATAAGATTGAAATTATGAACCACCTCTGAAAGTTTCGATAAATAACTAACCAAGAACTTAATTCGTTCGTAGAAAATGTAAAAATAGGTGTTAAGTTTTTATTAAATTATCCCTGAAATTACAATTTCTTGAAGTAGCCTTTTCTTCCGTTTTCGACATGAATACTTATAAATCATGGTAGAAAGTATGAAAAACAGAAGATTAGGGAAAAAAAATAGTAGTAGTATTTTTTTAATTTTTGAACAAACGCGATATTTATTCTGCTCGAAATCTGATTAAATATATAGCTGATTACGATATGCACAAATTTTTCTTCGTACATTTGGCTTAATTTATCAAGTGCAGATAAGTAACTCAATTAATCTTTTGTTGATGATACTGCTATAATATCCATAGACAAAAGTTGGCCAATAGTTGAAGATAATATGAATTGTTTTTTGAATAAAATATCTGGATGGCTTGGCTCTAACAGACTTTCGTTATATATAAGTAAAACGGTTTATATAATTTTTGAAAATTATTTTAATAATGTACTTGCTTCGTTAAATATGTATATAAATGGGAAAATATTAAATAGGGTACAAGAATGCAAATATCTTGGAGTAATATGTGACTATAGCTTAAAATGGGATAAGGGTATAGAATCTTTAATTAATAAAATTTTAAAATATGGATTGCTCACAATGTATAGAAAGGGAAAAAGGGAAAGGACAATAATAATTATTTAGATTATAACTGTGTCCTTCTGCTCAATTGTAATAGGTGTTTGTGTTGGATTCAATATTACTTTTTAATGCAAAAGTATTATATATAATTCATATCCAGAGTAACGGTGTAAATATTTTATAACCTGTGCGTTGGTGAAAGCTTGTATTGAATGAATGAATAAATCGATTAAAAATGACATATAACAACCTTTCAACTATTATATAGGTACCCAGATCACCAGAAAAGAACTCATGTATTTACTTTTTAACGTTCTGTTATTACATTATTTGCTATGTCACTACTCAGTAATAAAATTGAGTGTTGTGAGAGTGTTGGTCGTTGATTTATGAGGCGTTATTTAAAAATTTGTTAACAATAAATAAAAGCACTTTTAACTGTTTTAGAAATAGAATTCATTAGTATTCGGTTTAGTAAATTCTATTTCTGAAATATGCGTTTCTTTTTTAGAATATTTTTTTAAGATAATTGACATTTGATAACAGTAAATAAAAGCACGTTTAAATGGTTCATTTAATACCTTAATTATTAAAAAAAAATGTGAAACTAAAAAATTAAAATACTGTATTATACATGCTTTTTAGTAGGACGGCTAAATTAATTAGATATGTCTGAATACTCCCTCATAATATTTCATTTTACAGGAGCATGAAAACTTGGGATACCATGTGTTACGAAACATTGTTTTTTTTTCACATTTCAAAGTAGCAGATCCTGTACTTCTAAGGAAAGCGTGAAGCTGCCTTTTGTGCATTGGAAACGGAGACAATGTGTTACTGTTAAAGAAAGGATTTATGACTTGAATTGGTAAGTAATAATTAAAAATAGTAAACAAAGTCCTAGAAACCTCAATTTCTTAAACATTTGTAATCTTCCTTTATTTACTTTCAATAGACAGATTTTAAACAACGTTTCAGAAATGTCAAAAGCAAAAGAAACTATCTATATGTATATTTTGACTTTAATTTGAGCCAGAAGAAAGGTGATAAATATTAAATATCATAGCAGATCTTTATTTCGCTTATTAATGAATGGTATATTGTACTACATAATTAAATTGTGTTCGTCTGGCGTCAATTTGTTTAACAAATGATGTATTAGAACATAATGCATAGGATGACAAGCATTTCTTTGTATAATACCGTTAGATTGCCCATTATTTAGTTGGGGTTGTAGGTAATTGCGAACTTCAGTTTATCCAAATTTTTTCTAAAACGGTCTAGTTGGCGCTTATAGCTCTGCTACGTTTTGCTGATTTTGCCACAAAAATTAATAAAGAACGTCGATTTGCACTGCCAACCCCTAATTTAAAAACATTTTTATTTCTTGATTATTAATATGTATTTTAAACTCTTGGTTTTGTAAGCGAGTCTTTAATAAGTAAAGAAATTCAGAACTGCTACTGTAACCTGACGCTCACAATACTCTGCAGTGAAGTGGGTTGCCTATATCAAGGACGAGCAGTTGCCAGAAATATTTCAAATTCAAACTATCATGGTATCAATGTTACAGTGCGAGTCGAAACTTGTAAGCAACTAAATTTTGAATTTTAATAATATAATCTACTTTTATTTGGCACATAAGCAGTTTATGAAAGTACATAATTATGATTTTACGTTACTTAACACTGTTAATGTAAATGATTTTTTTTGCACTTTGTTTTGTATATTTCTCTAATGTGGGTATTTTTACCTTGTGTCCTGTACATTACAATTTACAATTTCTCATAGACAAAGTTGCTACTTAATAGTTAAAGTTGCGGAAAAAACTGTTAGCTTTATTTGGGAAAATTGTGATGAGAATATAAAACTATAATGAAGTAATAATAATCAAGGAGATAGATGCTTCTTAATCAAAAATAGCGATTGATTAAGAAGAAACGTAATGTACCCCTTTTTTTCGTAGCATATAGTAACAACGATAAGAACAATACAATGAATTTTTAATCTTCTGTCCAAAGATTGAGAAATTTGTAAATTACTTCCTAGACATCTGAAGTTTAAAATTTATTTCTACGTTTTCAAAAAGCATTGTATTTTTGAAAATATTCGTGTTGTTAAATTGCATACCAAGGAAAAGAAATGAAGTTTTAGTTATAAAACCGTTGTAAAAAAAGGCATGCACCTTCGTTGGCACAAGAATGGAAAAGCAGTTGTGAGTTTGAATTATCTCAATTGAAAATGAACATTTTCCACCCTTATACCAAGGAAAGATGCTTGTCAATTTTTTCATTTTTTCACAACGGTATTACAACTAAAACTTATTATGTTCCTGTATAAGATGAATCTTACATGTTTCTTTTTTGTGATATAAAGAATAGTCTATACGTCTGTAGTCTACATCTTCTATATCATCTTTTGATTTTCTTTAAACACCTAAATAAAATTAATTGACTGCATTATGTATACATATACAAAGTACATATTATGTCATCTTTTAGTACAAAGTAACTGCAAATTATAGGATTTACCTAATAATTTTATAAAAACTTCAAATTCTGAATAATTAACATACATCAAGGTTATTATTAATTCGGACATGGGAGAATTAAACCACAGAAACTGTTTGTTAATATTACTATATCTAATTACTAGAAAAACTTTAATTGCGTGCAATTTTTTTAAAAATAACAATAAGGTACTTCTAAAATTATACTGCAATTACCTAGTTTCCATTTGATTCGTTTAATGTTTAAAAAATTTAATTTCATGCCCGTTTGGTCGAATTTTATTATACTACAGAAATGCGATAAACCCACAAGTCAACATTATCCTGAAGTTATTATAATAGTTTAGACTATTTTTGTTTTGTTGGTCGTGTTCTTTTAATTTAACCGTGTATTTGCGTTGTCAAAGTATGCAATTCGCAGAAATTCAATACTTTTATCATAATGTGTAGTTTTAAATCTCCAAATCAAATAAAATAAGGAAAGTTTATTTCATTACTGTGTAGGAATTCTTATTATTTTCTTATATTCCAGAACATCCGTAATTCAACTTATTGTTAGAACCATTATCTTCTTCACTAACGCGTTCTCTTTCTTAAGTTTCCACTGTCTTTCTCGCTCTTATATTCAGTTATTTTTGGAGTTGTGATCAGGCAAAGCCTTGCTCGGTGCATTATTATATTAAGGTTTCGTAGGGGTAGTATGTTTTTTCCCGTCTGTTAAATTCAACTTACCGAGCTAATTTTTACGCAGAATTAGTTTTAATTTTTCTACGTTTGAAAGGTTAGATTGATTGATTCATACTGTATTATTATTTTTCGCAATTGCCCACAGCATAAATTAAATTGACAAAATTGTTAACGGTTGTGTCTTGAAATAGACGCCAGGTCGTCATTTTAAAATTTTGCCATTTTATTTGTTTTTGACGGTGGTTTTTCATTACGTGTTTTTGTTTTATTTCATGTTTTATTTATTTAATACGAGCGTTGAATTCTTTTGTATCCATTTCCCGCATATATTTTGACTTTTACTTGAGAGAAAGGAAGAAAGGTGAAAATGATTAAATATTTAAATTTTCGGCGGAACAGGTGTCTATTTGTTTATTAATGAATAGTACATTGTGTATCTGTTATTTTAGCAGACACCTTTGATTTATATTTTATTATTAATTAAAATTAGTTAATAATTGTTTTTGTCTGTTTCTACAGATTGGTTAACAATTGAGAGAGATTGGAACTGGCACCCTTTGCTCACTAAAAAGATAAGTTATCCCCTTTGGTGTTTTAGCTGTTAACTTTTTATCTTGGAGATTCTTGTAGTTAATTAAGGTGAGCATACATGCTATGTTATATATATGTAGTGTATTTATTTTATATTAACAGAGAAAAGGACTTGACATTACTTTAACAATGTATCCTGCATGCTGTTTACTTAAAATTAAATTAATTATATCTGAATACTTTTTCATAAGATTTCATTTTACAGGAACATTAGAAGAACTCTGGATACCGTTAATTTATGGAATTATGGAACATTGGTTGTATTAGTCCTCATTTGCCCCAGACAGTAGCTATACTCATGGTCCTAAAGAATTCATGAAAGTGCCTTTTTCCTGGAGTTTGTTCTTGATTTGCTGTTTTCGTCTCCACCTTGCAACATTATGCAGTTAATTCTCAACAGATGAGAGAGCAACTAGAGATGATGTATTGAAACGACAAATTTGCTGCTATGGTATTCCTCTTGGATTTGATTTGCTTTCCACACCTGCAAACTTTGGAACGTCACAATTTACAGTTAATTAAGGTGAGAATGCTTGATATATTTAATTTCAATTGCTCTTTATTAATCTGTTACCACCGTATCTGTTTTTTACAACATAAATTGAAGTTATCATGTATTTACAGTATTGCCCACAGAATCAGTTGACTTTTCAAGCATCTACAATTGAGTGATATTATCATGCATCTTTGGTACTTTTTTTTAACAAATATTGTCTACTGCATAAGATGGCGTTATGGTGCATCCATGATTACTTCACATTTATTTGTCTTTATATAGATCACCATTTTATAATTCGGTTGTTTTAGTTGTTTCTTGGTGCATGTGTTTATTGTGTGTCTTATCTTATTTATATAGGAATGTAATTAATTCTTAATTAATACGTTTTTTGCCCATTTCTGCAGATTTTCTATCAAGTGAAAAAGAATTAAACATCAGTTTGGTCATGCTGAAACAACTGATGTCTACATGGGTAGCGTTTTCCTGGACTTTATTGTTGATTTGCTGTTTTTGTCTTCACCTTCCAACATTATGCAGTTCTCAATGGAGGAGTGAGAGCAACTTGAGATTTATTTGAACTCTACTAAAACGATAAATTTTCTGCTTTGGTATTCGTCCTGAATTTGATTCTGCAGTTAATTAAGGTGAGAGTGCATGAAATAATTAGTTTACAGCATTTAACGTTATCCTGTATTTATAGTATCTTCCACAGAATAAGTTAACGTTCTTCTACATCTATGGCATCTCTTTTAACCTTTATCTACTTACAGTACAAGCTGGCGCTTTCGTGCATCTATGGTACCAGTTAATATTTATCTATTGCTCACACCATTAATTAATGTTATCGTGCATCTATTGGTATTTGTTCTAACGATTCTCTATTGTTCGCAGCGTTAAGTAACGCTATCGCGTGCACTTTGGTACTTCATTTTTTTAACAAATATCTATTGTCGACCGCATAAATTAATGTATTGGTGTATCTATCATTTTATAATTTAGATATCTTAGTTGTTTGTTGTTGCCGGTTTTTACTGTATTTCTTGTCTTACTTACATGGGAGTGCAATGAATCCTTAATTAATACACGATTTTTTGCCCATTTTTGTAGATTTTCCAACAAGTGAAAGAGAGTTAAAGATCTGTTTGGTCATTCTGAAATAACCGATGTATACACGTGGGTGGCGTTTTCCTGGACTTCATTGTTAATTTGCTGTTTTCGTCTTCACCTTCCAGCATTATGCAGTTAATTCTCAACGGAGCAGTGAGAGGAACAGGAGATTTATTAGAACTCTACAGAAATGGCAAATTTGCTGCTATGATATTCCTCTTGGATTTGATTTGCTTTTCACACCTGCCAACATTGGAATGTTACAATTTACAGTTAATTAAGGTGAGAATGCTTGATATGTTTAATTTCAATTGCTCTTTATTAATCTGTTACCACCACTGTCGTCTCCTATGGTGCTTTAGTTGTTAACCTTTCATCTTGGAGGCTCTTGTAGTTAATTAAGGTGAGCATGCATACTATACTTTCTATATGTAGTGTATTTATTTGATATTAACAAAGAAAAAGATTCAGCATTACTTTAACAATGTATCGTGCACATTATTTACTTAATACTTAATTAATTATATCTGAACACTTTTTCATAAGATTTCATTTTACAGGAACATTAGAAGAACTCCGGATACCATTAAATTATGAAATTATGGAGCATTGGTTGTATTAGTCCTCATTTGTCCTGCAAAGTAGCTGTGCCCATGGTTCTAAAGAAAGCATGAAAGTGCCTTTTTTTATTGGGAACGAAGACAGTATGCTGAAAAAGGATTTGTGACAAGGAACTGGTATGTAACAGTATCAATTAAAAATAGTAAATGATATCTTTAGATAACTTCAATTTCTTAGACATTTGTAACTTGCTTCAATAGACAACATTTAAACAATGTTTCAGAAATGGCAGAAGGAGAGTCAATATGGAACAGATCTTTCCATTAGTGTGCATGTTACTGATTTATTCGATTTAAAAATGGTAAATAATTACTTTTTCTTGCCTGTTTCTATATAGATTGTTGTCCCACAAATGAAAAGGAATTGCAGCTAATTTTGGTGCTACTAAAACAACTGATGCTTTTGACGTCTTCACCTTGCAACATTATGCAGTTAATTTTTGCAGTAACAAAGGGAGGCAATTGGAAATTAATTAATTTGGATGCAACTGGAACAAATTATCTGCAGTGGTATCCCTCCTAGATTTGGTTGGTTTGCTCATCACACTGATAGACTTTAGAACGCCACTTTCTACAATTAATTAAGGTGAGAATACATGACTAATCAATATTAATTACTCTTTATTAATATGTTATGAAATTTCTGTTAACAATTATCTATTGTCAACAGTATAAATTGAGGTTATTGTGCATCAATATCATTTGACAGCTTTTATTTTTCACAGAGTAAATTGGTATTTATCATTGATGTATCTATGGAGTTTATCTATCTATGGATTTTCTTTTTAACCTTTTTCTGTTGTCTATGTCGTATTATTTGACGTTAATCTATGGTTGTGATGTAAAATGGTGTAAAATTATTGTTTGTTTATTTTATAATTCAGCTGTTTTACTTGCTTTTTGGTGCGTTTTTATTTGTGTCTCTTAATTACAAGTGTAATTATAATGTTTTTTTGTCCATTTCTGCAGGTTATACAATAAATGAGAGAGAATTAATGTTCAGTTTTGGTTATACTGAAACAGCCCATGTCTACATGGGTGTGGTCTTTCCTGGATTATATTCTTGATTTGCTGCTTTGTCTTCGCCTTCTAACATCATGCAGTTAATTTTCAACCCATGAGCGAGTGCAACTGGATACTTATTTGAATTCCACTGAAATATAAAATTCTCTGCTACAGTATTCCTCCTGAAGTTGGTTTACTTTTCACTCCTGTAAACTTTGGAATGTTACTTTCTATAATTAATTAAGGTGAGGATACTTGATATAATTAATTTTAATTGCTCTTTATTAATCTGTTTGCCACCGTATCTGTTTCAGATCGACGTTGGAGAAGACAAAGATGACCCAGTAGTTGAAATAGTTCTTTATCTTGCATGCTCTATCTAGTAGAATTCATTAAGTTCGTTTTATTCAAATTAATTTTTTATTTTGCATGTTTTTTTTTTTTTTTTATAGTTAATTTGATTTAGTTTTTATTTTGCATGCTTATTTTTGTTCATTTT